TGTCATATCCTGCTCCTTGTCCCTCTCCTCTCGCTCGGGGTCAGGGGCTGAAGGTTTCCCAAAGCTGCCCTCCCCTGCGCTCCGGCGCTGGCCCCGTCCCTGCCCTCGCCCTTCTCGCGGCCGCAGAGCCCCCAGAACACCAAAGAGTTGCGGAGATGCTGCCGGTGCCGGCAGTCCCTGGGACGATGCTTCCCAAAGGCTGCGCCGATACAGGAGATGTACCCCAGATAATGCAGCCACATTAAATAACTAATCTATATGTAGCGTTACATGAAATTCAGGATAAAGAGGGTATAAAATAACTGCTAACATGGGATCTTACTCAAGTTAGATTCGGCTTCCTTACTCACAAGGTCACAAGAACAAAGCTGAGGCAAGACTGGTGGTGGACTGAATGCAGGTGTATAGAACATGTATCTTACAAATAAGTGTTTATTTCTAGAGTTTAACTCACATCTTTTTAAAACAATGAAATACAGACTAGACTACATGAACCTTTACAACCCTTTTTCATCTGTCATAAATGATTATCCAGATACAAATTCAGATCTTTCAGGTAGAAGACATACAGAATTTATTTTAAAAAAGTATTTGCTACAGGTCACCCTTTGCTGTCGTATAAAACGTATAGGAAACTATTGGGAAAACTTGGATTGTTGATGTTCTGAACTGAACAAAAATATATCCTTATTGCAAGAAAGCTGAAACACCCCGACTGCCATGGGGAAGTCTGTCCTGAAAACATCATTTCTGCAGTATATGCTACAGTCTCACTCATCCCCGTTATTGTTCAGAACAGCACAAACAGCAGCGATGAGATGGGGACAGCAATGGATTCTAAGGCTGACCTCTTTTAGTTGCCCTGAAAAATCTGTTTGCCATGCTTGTAGCTGAGGTCTCCCAGAAAGCAAGAAGAGTCTTTTAAGCATCAGCTGGACAAAACTCACGCAGCTGTGGTGACATGACGTCCATCACTTGTCTTCTGTTAATAAAGAAGTTAGATCAGGTACAGGGGAAAAACATCGCTGCAGTTTTAAAATCCAGAGGAAGCCAAGGAATTCATAGAGAGAAGGAAAAAGGAAAAAAAAAAGCCTACATTGCAGAGTATGGAGGACTGCTGCGAGTTATCCCTAAAGGAGCAGCAAGACAGACTGTGGCTGTGTATGTACCTATTAAATGTATGTATGCATGTATACACACACATATAGGCAAATGCGGAATCATCATCACTGAAAAAAATAACTGTCAATGCAGTTGGTTGTTTCATTCTAAATAAAAAGGATGAGTTAACAGATTTTCCACTGTGGCTCAAATTTGGGCTGACTAATCTGCAAGCTTGTCTATACTTTTTCTAGCAAAGTCTCTTTCCTTTAACTTGTAAGGAAGCAAGCTAGTTTTAATTTCCTATGTTAGCAAAGACGTGTAACATCCCACACGCTAAAGAGTTAGCCATTTTGATGTCATATCATGCATTGTCAGAACATGCTATGGAAGTCTTTGTTGATATAAAAAAATTTCTCATAAAAAACAAATCAGAACAATGACTGATTACCATTAGGGAATTCTGGCAATTTTCAAGTAAGAGCTACGTATAACACTTCTCAATGTTAGATATTACTTTTTCCATCTGATACAGATTTAAAATGCATAGTATATACATAAATAGTAGTATCCATCCAATCTTTAAGAGTGTTCTGTTTTATACTCCAGTCAATATGCCCTATAATTACATTGACTGATTCTGTATTAAAGAATACGTTACATTCTGAGGGGCTAATTAGAATGAGAAATGGAAAAGATTTCATTTTAGGCTTCCTTTCAATTTTTACAAAAACAGAAGCAGAAGAAGTATCAATCACAAATCCTCCAGAGTAAAAATCCAACACACAAAAACCATTCTGAGTCCTTCTGTGTTCTCTCCTGCTAAACAAACAAAACCACAGCAAAGCCCCTCCCAATAACCGTACGTATGGCACTTGCTTATCAGAATGTAATCCGTACGTTAGGATTATAGGAGAATGAAATGCATGCACCGAACAACTTTTTCTTCAGAGTGGGCCCACTTAACCATTACCTTTGTCCACAGGTAATCGAAGATGTGCTGGGTCACCATTCATACCCAGTTTGCATAAAGCCACGATTCACAGCACCTGTACATACCTAGACTGACCCCGATGCAGTAGAATTCCAGCACGTGGAGAAATGGACCCATGAATTATTTTTAAACACTTCTAGTACTCTCTCTCCCATACAAGATAACCAGGGTCTTTCCAGTGTACTAGTGTGTCTTTTTTTTGCCAAAACCATGACCGATGGCTTCTCCACCCTCCATTTTTTAGGTCAAACACAGACTGAACTTCTACTTACTATAACTGTGGCTTTCAGTGACTGTGTAAAGTAAAGTACACCAGATTTAAGTTTCCTTTAGGAAAATACCATGTTTTAGTAGCACATTAAATAACCAGGAACAACCTGCCAGCCTCATAGCAGACGTAACTTGTGTATGTTAATTCAGAAACTTTGGGTTTTTAAATCTCTTGTCTACATCTCCAGGAGGGGTACTATGCTAAAAGATTGTTCCAAGCAGTTGTAGTCAACATGAATATATAAAGTATCAAACTTGAAATGTTTTTCACAGAATATTTTTGAAATCAGCAACAGATGCATTTGTCGTTGCTTTAGACAACAGGACAGCACTGCAACTCTGATACGTAAATAGCAGCCACTTTGAAAACTAAATACCTCGTCTTACTAAATTGCATTAAAACTCCCAAGTGCAAATCGATTTTGGGCACTGCAGATCGGACAAGACACGGAGACGGAGGCGAGCGGCACAGAGCCCCCGACGGGAAGAGCTGGGGTGAGGACGCAGCACTCGGGTGAGCGAGCAGCGTTCCAAACCCGCAGGAACTGCAACCCTGGAGCCTCTGCCTGCATCCCAGGGCGATGACGAGGCAGACTTGCAGGGTGTCTCCGGAAAGAGGAGAAGCCCGCTGGCAGCTTCTGACAATTTGTTTTTCCTTTCTTGCACTTGGGACTTGTAAGAGTCCCCACAGGGACCGACTGAGGCCGGATCGACTGGAGGATGTACTCTCTTACCGGGATCTGTGCCGACATGCCTGGGTTGACATGCCTGGAAATGAGAGGCACGGCCCTGCTGCCCCGCAGAAACGACCTTCTGAGGCCCAGCCGGCCGGCGACAGCACCGGAGAGGTACCTAAACTTACGCAACAACAAATAAACCAACACGCGCTCTCATCACCGCTCGCACCACCTGAAGAAAAGAACTCATCTTAAGTAAGTGTGAAGGCTACTGTGCAAACATACAGTAACGCATCAGTGGGCAAATGCAAACATCACAGTTACGGACCCAGGCAGTAGCACCAGGAATTGGGCTCAACCCTACTTTTAAAACTAGCCAGGCCTTGGCCTCTAGTGCCACGAGAATCTGTGTTAGCTGGCCGTGAACGCTGCAGTGCTCCTGGCACACCAGTGTCCACGACCTTGGCTTCCACTTCCCTTCCTGACGGCCAGGCTGTTTCTGTAAGGGAACCACAGGCTGCAGCAGCTCCTACGGCAGCACGGTACCAGCCAGAAGTGGCAGGGCGTTTGTCAAAATTTTCCTATTTCAAATACTTAGGCTCCCATGGTAGAGCTTTTTTTTTTAATATCAGCCTATATTGGGGCAAGGCCATGGTTGAACCTGGTTTATATAAACGAGACAACAGATCACAGGAGGACTTGACAGTCAATATATAGTCCTATTACAGACGTGAGGACCTTTAAAGTGTGTCAGACATAATTCAGTCAGCAAAACACTGACTGTTCTTCTGCTTCCCCTTCATTTCAGAACAAGGATATGGTCTGTATTCATTTCAGAAAGCAAAGCCATATGTTTAAATAGTTCAATTCACCATCATATTCTTCCTCTCAACTATTCTGATCCAAGACCAGCTTCAGCTAAACACCTTTGTTAGCTATCTTTGAACAGAATGAATCCTAGCAAAGGCAAAAAACCCTTTGAAAGACAGAAAACCATCAGTGAGTTACTGTACATATTACATGCATAGCATCAGAAGATAGACACCATAAAAACAACAGGTTTCACTTTTAACCGTAAACAGGTATAATACAGTATCATTATTTTCTGAGTAAAACACCACAAACATTATTTATCACTTAGGAATAATTGTGCACAGCATACTTCAGCACTCAGAAACTAAATTTCAGTTATCTTGTACCTATTGCTGACAAATACTGCCTTTAAAAAACTTCAGCTGCATACGACAATATACAACTGAATGAGTAAGGAACAGAGACAGGTGGGCTTTGTTATCCTCCCACACGCCTCATTCTTAACAGACATTGGCACTTCTCATCTACATCCTGAGGATAACATGCTTCCAGTCCTGTTGGCCAACTGAAAAGGAGCGATGCTAACCCATCTGGCCTCTCTCTCCCCGTTAACACATGGTAAGCATTTACTTAGCTTTCCACCACTTTGAGATCAGACCTTAGGACTTCTCAGAGTCCAGTTTGGTAGAATACCAGATTAAAAAACCAAAACAAGACACTCAAGATTATACCAACTGAGACATGATCAGAGCCCACAGAGATTTTCTGACAATTATTCAAATTATAAAATAAAACCTAAGTGTTTTTTTCTCCCACTTTACCAATGTTTGAGGCCAAATAATTCCCTTATTTTGAGATCTAAATTAATGAAGTCTTAGGCTTTTTCCTGTGAAACTTCACAATGCAATTTCTCCAAAATTAGTACAGTGCTTAAAGAGTACATGAAAAGCTTCCTACTATTAGGTTTCCCATGACCACAGGCACAATGTTGTACAATTTTGCATTAAAACAGCAGCCACCAGTGATTGTTCTTTCAGTGTCATTTTAAGGGAATTATTTCAATCTCAGTACTGAACAAGTTTTAAAAGGCAATGGGTTCATTATTTCTGTGTACTTTGAGAATTGATGGAAGCGTATCCAGCGTTCTATCGTGCTGTCACCATCCAAAGTCCCAATGCAACATTGGCAGCCAACAGTGCACTACCAGCAAGCAAAATTAAAAAGCCAACAAGCTCTCTGTTTTGTTTTTCTACAATCAGGGAGCTCAGAGTGGCTTCCAGGAATGAATTTAATATCCACTGACCATCCAAAGCGAAGCAGGGTACAGCATTGATAACTGCCAGTGCTCCTGACAGTGAAATCAGGTACCTGGTTGACATTAGTTAAGGTTCATGAATAATATCCAAGAAATTGTAAAAAAAAATTTAATACAAAACATATTTTTATTTCTAGTATGCAGAGAGAAACATATGACGGTTATTTTTTTAGCTGCCACTCTGTTTCGCAGAAATTATACAAGTACAATGAGTTTTATGCCATAACATACCAGCTCAGAGAATTGCCTTTATTGATTCAATTGTTTTTAAGCACTAGGTTAGGATATTTAAACAACTTGCGCTCTTCACAACTTGCATGAAAGCAGGAGACGGCAAAACCACACTTAATACTGCCTGTCTTCCTCCCTTGCTTTGTGTGGTTTTGGAGGAAGCTTATAGCTCTGACACCACGCCTGAGGTAAGAAGGTATTCTAGACCTATGACCTAAGTATGAAATAATGATTAGGAATATTTTCCGAAGCACTCCCTCGCTGGAGTGAATAAATGGCTAGAATATAATTGGAAATCTGGCCTCTCTCTCCTACTTACCTGTTAGCCAGAAAAGTTGAGTGGATTTCTGTACGTGCATGTGCATGTGAGAATGAGGCAAGGGTAGTTCATTTTTATTGTTGGTAAAGGCTTGCTGACTATAATACCTACCTCCATCCTATAATGGCTGGGCAAGAAGTCATACGACTCAGAAAGTAGCTGGGTCAGCATGAACCTTGGTGTGTTCCCAGAAAAGGGGAGCTTATGTAGCATCTTTACTCTAGCGTTATGGACTACACTGAACTATGCTGTTTAATTGTTCCACAGCCATGCATAAACACTTCAGTTTCTAAGGCTAAGAGTTCTTAGATTAGCCATATTCAAGCCTACTGACCTTTATGTATGCATGTATATATATCATCTAGTTCATTAATAAGCATGTTTTAACTGAATTATCATCCTGCTTTTTGATTAGGCTAAGTTTTCTTTTCTGTTGAAGAAAGAAAGAAAGAAAAAAAAAAAAAAAACAAACAACAACCATACCCTGTATTTAGTTCAGTATAATGACTCAAAAATGATAAAACTCTGACATACCAAAGCTAGCAATAACATCTCATTTGTCCTGATGTAAATTCAGGCTTACTTTGACTTTCTTGTCAAAGCTGTTAAGACTCACCCCCAAGAAAGAGTTAAAAAAAAAGCACTGACCAAAAATATCCTGCTAAGCACAAGAAAGGGAGAGATTTCATTTTGAGCTTGGCACATGGACAATAATCAATGCAGAGATGGGATAAAGATGTCAAAACTCTACAGAAATGTTTCAGAGCATCCTGTCTAAAAGTATATCCAACTGAAATTTTGCTGGGTCACCAAATTCTAAACAGTTCCCTTCTTGCCTTAAAAGAACAAACATACTTCAAAGGATACTTGCAAAATGTCTCTATCACCACAGGCAGATCGATGCTTAGAAAGTTTTGTCGTGGTACAAAACTGCTGAGGCTTACTGAAATGAAAATACAAAGAAGCACAAAACATGAACAGTCATTCTAGGATTACAACATTATGAATTTTAGATTTTAAATTTGCAGAAGAATCAGATTGGAAATGATGTTTCTTCAAGGATGAATAACCAATCTAAATACAGTTTTGCTTGGTTTTTGTTTTTAAGAAAGTACAGCTGTTAAATCTTTCTTCAACATGGTCACTATTATAGTAAAGCCACTCCACAAAATACAATTAGCATGATTTCAGTAAAAGTAGATCTAAAATACATATTTTCAGAGGCAACTGGACATCTGTAGTCATAAAGACCACATTGTGTAATCTAAGTCCTTTTCAAAGAAAAACATATGAAAAGATTAAAGTTACTGGACTTTTTCAACATATGCAGTCCACATGTGTACATTGATACTGCGGGTGCACACATGTACGTTCTCTGAAGGCCAGAAAATTCTTGCAGTACCTGCAGAAGATCCCCTGACCTGAGGCTGAGCTCGTTGTGTATGGGAGCAGGGCAGACAGGGAGAAGAAGTCTGGAGCCACTCTAAAAAAGCAAAGGCTAGGAGATGAGGCACAGCTGCATTACACATAACACCAGTTAGACACTACATAAGTAGCTTCTTTTTCTGTCTTCAGACGATGCCGTAAGTGACTCCAAGATGTAACTTAGTGCAACTTAAAAACCTGGGAGGTGGGACTCGGCATCCTTCCTATGAATAGTGACTGGAAAATTGCCATGTCAAGCACCGCATGACCTTGAAACACTTCTTTAGTACTGTAACTTCTTCGAAGGTGTACAGGAAGCTTCAACTGACTGCATGTCAAATGTCGACGAGGGACTCCGCAAAGAAAACTTAAGTAGCTTGAGAGCTCCCAGAGCGCACTGTGTTAGTACAGGGATGCTCTGTCTGGGTTGACTCATAAAAAGCCTTGACACAGTCTTTAAAAGTAAACAGCAGTCTCAGTCTGCCAGCCTCAGGGACTTCGGGACGTTTGAAAGCCTCAGTTCTGTGACAGCTGGAAGAAAGACACCTTTCCTACTAGAAGGCTCCACTCACAACATGGTGGAGTCTTATCCCCAGAAGGAAGAGGTTTAGGTAAATTAAGGCAGAATTAGAAAATCACCTTAAGAATGAGCTTGCACAGTACCAACAATAGTCACTCTGTCTCTAAAGAACAACTTGGGATGCAAGTTGAGGCCAGCCATGATGGCCTGAATTTTTCCTACCAACCTGGGAAAAAGTTATAGCCATAAGAAACACCATCTCCACAGAGAGATGTGAAAGCAAATCCCACTCCATACAAACATCCCTTGGGAAAGGAACAATTTAACCCATCCTTTGAGAAATTTTAAAACCATAGGCTAAGAGAATACTGGGAACCTCACAGCACAAGTACCTAACATACCAAAAGTGCTGCTAAGTATATCTCAGTTAAGAGTGAGATCAGATTTCTTCAGGTTCAATAAAAAATTCAAGGACACCAGAACAAAGACAAGAGGAAAATAGTTCCAAAGGCACGTGAGGCAGAGAACTGGTCCACTCAGTCACATAAACACATTTTCTTCTATTAACAGAGGCCCTGCTGATGAGTCCAACCAGCAACACCACCATGGGATGGAGAGATCTGGATAGCAAGAAGTCCCCCCAAAAATATTGGGTTTGGTGTGGCAACAAGCAGAGAACTTTCCAATACCAAAACTACCGCAGCTATGCCAAGACAGCTTGAAAATCATGTTCTCTCTTACCTTAGCTTAAGAAAGACCTTTGGTTTAGGGGAACTGAGAGAAAATAAATAAGTCTGTTGGACTACTGAGTGAAGAACATAACAGAGAGAAATCCTGGGCACCACCCAGCTCAGAAAGTGAGAGGCATCCAAGTCAAGTGACATCCAAAGCAAACAACTCATCAAGCTGAAGGCTGGTATCAGAACATCTGATCAGACCTCTTGTTCGTGAGCCAAAATAGCAAAGTGGTTGAGGCAGCCAGTGTATTCATAGGTTTCAAAAGACACCCACTGCAATATACTGCAATTTCAAAGCTTGTTTGCCTCTTGACAAACACCTAATGGCCACTAACAAGTCACCATCCTGCATCTGAAGTTGTGCCTACACTGAGAATGGATCACTAGTCTCCTTCCCTCTTTGTTACAACAACCGTCTGTGGTCCCTGACAGTCACTAAACATGGATCTGAACTCCAAACCTTGCCGGTGAAGCAATCTCCCAAACATAAAGAAACTCTTCAGGAAGCTGCTGGACTGAGCTCTAGACACTGTACTATGAGGCAATGAATTTAGTGGCTGTAATGGATCAAACCTAATGGCAGCAGGCAAATCTGTCCTTTGAGGCATAACGAAAGAATTATAGAAATTGTGTTCTCCAGGCTTGTCTTCAAAAGACGCTGCTGGGAAGAGTTGAACAGCAATGAGGCTGGGTGAGAGAAAACAGTCATTGTCTTCCCACTCTAATTAAACAGTTCTTTGACCTGGAATTAACTTTTCTTTTGCTGGCTAATGCTACATGGTGTTGGCAAATATTGAGAAGAATGCACAACTCACACAATTTTAATTCGAAGTGATTTGGAGACTAGGTGGACCAAAGAGGTTTTCAAAACCTCTTCATGGGGGAAAGGGCATGTATGGTATCGAGGAGAGGAACAATACGGCATGAGATATTTCTGTGTGGTCTCCGGAAGACCTGTACATGTAACCCTTTAAATATGGACTGAAAGCAAAGGAGGATCATCCTCAGCAATAAGGGGAAACAAGCATAGAAATACTGAGAAACCAGACTGTACCAGATAGACCTTCATCAGGGATTATGACTGTTGTTGCCCCAAAAACTCCCCAAAGCTAGGAAGTGACTTTGTTTTAGAAGATTTGGACACAACAGAAGTAGGAGACTGGTCCTGTGTGGGGAAATTATCTTTTAGGTAAGTTCCATCTTCTTTTCATGAAGGAAATCTTGCAGTTTTTGATCCCTAATGGGTGATGCAGATACAGTAACATTCAGGGATATGATCTTCCCTCAAGCAGCGTGAATTCCAAATGTGAATGTTAGTTACCAGATTCTTCCCAATCAACAAGGGCCAGAGAAGGAAGCCAAGATTTTGCAATACCAGAAATGACATGAAGGAATAAAGAACCCCATACAAAATAAAGAAGAAACACTGCAAAGTTGCATGGCAATAATGACAGGGCGCTCCATTTCAACCTTACATATGTCCAACTTAGGGAGAGCCTCTAGAGCATAACTGGCCTGCAGTGAGAAAAGTCTAAAAGTCTTGAGTGATACCACAAGAATTAAACCCACAGTATGAATTTATATTGGATTACATTAGATACTTTTTACAGAGAGAATGCTAATTAAAAGGATTAATCAATGTGTCCATCCTAAACAACATGCATTCCTAATCATTCTTTCTGTTTTAGTTTTGGCCAAATCTCCAGCATTGTAAATTCGTTTAGGATTATGATTCTTTACATATTTATTTTTTTTTTATACTGGAAACAAGAGCTATATATAGCATCTGTATCAACAAAAAATATTTTTGCTAGGATGTTTTACTTTGAAGAAACAAAGATTCTATAGAAGTAAGCTGTATAGCCTATTTCTTGTAAGTAGCTAATATGGATATAAAAATTTAAAAATATTCTATCTGGAAGCTAGCTTCCAATGAAAATATGAAATAATTACTGCTTCTCCATAGATCAGGACTATCAGGACAACAATACAAGCTTAAGTAGAAAATAATACATGCATAATCTTAGAATGTTTTTCAAACATTAATGACATTTCTAGAGAAAGTAAAGTCATAGTACACACTAGTGCAACTCCCATATCAGGTTGTGTGTTAAATGTAGCACCACTCTAAAAAATAATGTTTCCTGCAAGCAGAAATATCACAGTAAATAATAAGGCATTTCACTGAAACGTATTCCTGTTTCAAAATTCACACAGTAGAGAAAGAAATAATTTTCCTTTCTAAACTGTAAAAAAAAGTGGTTACCACATTCTGATCAGTCACACTGGGGGAGGCGGGGTGGGAAGTCAAACCTGTTGGCCCCAAGCCAGTATTGTACAGTGCACAGTTACGCCTGAAATACTGAGAAGCTGTTTCATCGGAATGCATGGAACTCTACGATGGTACAGCAGACTACCTGCTGCCCAAGCCAGGATCCTCTGGTTGTAGCTCTGGTGTTTTTCCAAGGGGAACACAGAGCATAGGTTGCATTTGCAGCAGAGTTGGTAACAAAGTCAAGCTTTTAGCTTTGAAATTAACACATTCAATGTGCAACTCCCAGGGTACAGTAAATCACTTTAGAATTATATTCCTGCAAATACACTGTAAATTGTATTTTCACACAGTAACTTCTTGAAGCAGAACTACCCCTTTAGATGCAATAACATTCTTTTCTGACTTCTGAAAGACTGACAGGTTCAACTGTTTTGCAGAATTACTGTTCAGTAGGAAACACTGACTAAAACTCCATTGCTCCAACATATTGGAAGAGAACAATGTCAATTGTTCCAGAGTACCTACAGTTTCTACTGTTAGAGGCCAAGAAAGGGAAATTAAAATAATTATCAAACTCTATTCTTAAAATTTCTTGCTGCATTTGGAATAGATGTCATCAAATACAGAACTGTGTGTTGATATCACACAGGTGAACACTGTTTTCCTCCCAAATGGCAAGAGGGTAGAAATAACAAGTGAAGAGATCATATTTTGGGCTTAAATGACGGTATAGCATGAACAAGTAGAAATAAATAATTTGTCACAGAGTATTAAAATATGACCAGCACAGTAAGATAAAGACTGACAGATTAACTAAAAATATATTTATGCAAGAATGCTAATGGATTTACACTACCAGATTTCATCACTGTTTCTAAAGCTCTTTTGTACCTAATTCCAGTGCTTATTCCGAAAAGTATGATGCCTTGCTACGGAGGTACTTCAAGATGTCTGAAGTAAAATCTCCCCCTGCAAGGTACAGCTGTCTTTGAGGAACAGGCACATCCCTCACAGGAAGGGACAGTAGTTTAACACTTCATACTTTTTTAAGCCCATCCAAAGCTAATTTTCACCATGCCACTCAAGCTACTAAGTAGGGGTGTTGATGAGTTTGTTCATTCTTTCGATACTTGCTCCAAGGGCAGAATTACTTTTTATTTGTATACCTGGCTCAAGAATATAAGGGAGAGCCATAGTCCATTTCAAAGTAAGGAACTAAACAGTTATATGTTATTTAATTTTGGGCGCTCAAATATAATATACAATCAGGAAAAAACTATTTTGTGATCGTACTTGTGGCTCAGTAGTCATGGGAATCTGTCATAGATACTTGGATATTAGGTGTGATTTAAGCAGCCATGCTAATATTCCAGGCAAGGTTTTAGAGCAAGATGCCCTAGAGATTTTATAATAGCATTTTGAGAAGTTTGTGGGTTAGGAAAACGCAGGTGCCTGGTTCCCATGACTATGAGTTAGATGTTATAGAAATAGCCCTTTCATACTTTTTTGAAAAAACAACCATCTCATATCACATATGGTTTCTATTACCTTCGTAACTCATTGCACTGTGCACATTTCATTTTAGGCCTGAGTAGTCCATGTCTCTCCACTGGCTGTAACAAGAAATGGATTCTGCATTAAACAAGTTAACTGACAAGCGCTCCAAGACCTTGTTCAAGCAGCCAGGCAAAGTAAATAATATTAGAAATCTTTTTTGTTAAACTGTTTTAATAAACAATACCAACCTGTGTACTGAAGATGCATGGGGTGTCCTACATACAGCATGTCAATGTGGGGTGGATGTTTTACCCTGATGAGCCTTGTTTGGTTCTCTAAAGAAGGAGTCACACAAAAGCCTGGAAGAAGGTCCTTCTGGCAGTCCATGTTGGTTCGACAAACTTTGCTGGCCTCAATAACTTTTCGTGCTGGCAGACAGGCATACTGCAAAGAGCATTTAAAATTATTATAAAATTTAAAGGTATTTTCCAAATATTTTTAAAGCAAACAAAGTGCCTCACTGATATACTACCAGCCCGTGAAGAGCCGAAATCTGATTTTTTTATTTCTTTTTGTCAAATCCCACAGAACCTCTACCTGATACATATTCAACCTGTCATTCCATTTTTGGTGGAATGTGGAAGAGAGGGTATGCACATGTACCAAAATAAAAGCTAACTGTTTTTCAAAGGGTACATGCATCTAATCATAAGTCAGTGATTTCTAAGAAACAGTGCCTGCATCAACATACTAGTGACTTACCTGTTTAAGAAGTTTTAGTCTTCATTGATCTAAAAACCTCATTTAGCTGAACAAAACCTTACGTTCAGCAAACAAACCAACAAACCTACTGGCTGTGAGGTAGCTAAGAAACCATTCTCAACTAAGATGAACTCAGGATTTAAGGCAGTGGTGTGTCCCAAGTCCTACCTCTAATGCTCCTTCACTCTGCAGCCTGAAAGACCAGACCTTTCTTGCTCCCCACAGGCCAAAGACAGTACAGCAGAAAGCAACACGAAATGGGTTCCCCCCTTCTGTCTCTCGTAAAGCTCAGTGATAATTTTCCTTCTGTTCTTAAACATAAGCAAGGAAAGTTCTTCATCTACTTTTTGCCTTAGGAAAAAAAAAGAAAGCATTTTCTTGCTTCTTAGCCTGATAGTCACACTACCCATAGATGCAGGAGTGTCAGACATTCTCCATTAACCTCAATACAAGCTCTTTCTATTCTAATGAGGGGGAGAGGGCACACTTTCAAATACTGCTGCATAGCACTGCAAAGACTATTTAAAATAATTGTTCAAAAACTCACAGCCAGTCTAAGGACACTTGAAGGTCACAAGCTTCTGGATGCTTTTATTTCTTCTCTGTTCCTAAGTAGCAGCTATGAGCTTAAGAATGTCAAAGCTCAGTGGGGTACTGATTTATCAAATCTTGCTGAACTCCAGGATGTTACCAGCCACTGTCACATTACAAATGAACTGCTGCTCTGTGCTCAATTCTTAGTGGTTAAATACCACAAAAACACCCTGGAGTGTGAAGTTTACCATCATAGAAACTGTAAACATAGCAGATGTAGGAACAGACTTATTTCCATTTCTTTAGGTATTTATCACTAGAGGTCAGAACAATAACAAACTGGTATGTGTAGAAAAGTTTACACAGTTGATACTTGTGCTCTTTTTCTTGTAAAGAGAACTGTCAGAAATATTCCATCGCTGTCAATATGGATCATGTATTTTAACAAACATTTCCGTATTTTGAAGAGAGTAAGTCAAAACCCTACTGAGACACTTTATATGTTTCCACATGTTATGAGAAAATCAACATGGTGAAAAAGGAATCGGAGGCTCTGATTTTGAGAAATTAGGCCATCGTAGGACCTTCTTGCATGCTTTCAGTTTAACCTAGTGAGCAGCACTGCTGGCTTCAGACAAATTAACTGAACAGATAGTCCAGTGCTTTGCTTCGCCTTAAGGACTGAAGAACCAAAATAAGCAATTTCACCTTGTTGTCAAAAGTTGTTTTTTCTCACCATTATTCTACATCCAGTAGTGAAAACGGGGGAGGTACCTTTCTGCCTAAAGGAATGAGGGGTATAAGATCTTTTCTGATTCTTCCAGAGACTCCCTGATTGATCATGGGAAAAATCATAACTAATATTTTGGGGTTTTTAAGCTGTAAATGGGGAGAATAACATACACATACACCTTTGTTACAAACTGTAAGTATTCTTAAACACTTGAGTAAGCTGCATAAATGTTGGTAAATATTACTACTTTAATTTAAATAATTTCAGATTTACCAAACAGAATTAGCAGTTTAAGTAACTTACCAGGTGGCTGTCCAAGTCATTGCTATATGAAAAGCAAATGTCCGTGAGGCTGTTGTTACTACAACATTCAACTGTGCCATCAAGTCTTCTATAGACTAAGGAACACAGGCATAGAGCAAACGATCAATATTATAGTAACTTCCTGAAAAGAAATTCGTCTCTGAATAAAGTAAAACAATCATTCTGTAGCCTTCAAGAATTACAGTAATTCACACAGCCTAGCTGTGGTTCAGTCACAACTAAAAATAAGCTTCACCACTTACGTGCATGAATGTCACTTGATTTCAATCATGCCACATACCGATTTTTCCATCTTAATAAATCTCCTTGAGATACAGGGGATCTACCACTGCAGTGCTCTGAGCATTATGAGTTACAAACTACTTTTATCTGTTGCCCTCAACTCACATTAAGGTTTGGCATAGAAATTTGTTAGCTGCTACTGTACTGATTTCACTGGCTGGCTATGGAAATGACCAAGACGCAAAATGTCCTCTTTAAAATGTGAAAGCCTTTACAAGATTCAGGTTTTGAAATCTTTCCAAGCCTTGAAGGCTGCAGCAGTGAATAAATGATATTTTAAACCATGATTTAACTAGTCTGGTACAGTCTTTGTACAGATGTTCTTTAAATGAATTAAACCTAACTGACTCCACAACAGCAGCTTTTTAAACAAAACACACAAAAAGAACGGTCACTGTAAGAATCTGTGTAACAGCAACACTGCAGTACCTTCCTTAGGTAGATCAAGCCTGCGATACTGGTTGCTGATTTATCACTGCATAACCTGCAGTCCACTAACATGGAGCTTTATGCCTGGGGCTCACAGGTGCAAGCACTGTACGGTAAAATCCCTTTTTCAAGGACCCTGAGGCTAAGCAACCACATGTATTTTTGAATAGTGAATGACCATGAAATTACTTTCCTTATAAACTACATTGAAAACACTTTTTTTTTTTTAATTTCAAGAAGGTCCTTGGGGCATTGTTTTCTGTCTAGCTTCATACTCAAATAGTTTACTCTCCATTTGTTTTATGGTCAAGTAGATAGGGTCCATTTGCTAGATACATTTTTACTGATATTCTGGATTTATGTCAACTTGTGAACTGTCACGATTTTGACAAATGACAGCTGCTAGAGACCGAACAGAGTTCATTTAATTTCAGAGGAATATCTCTCACTGCTGGAGGCTTATGACTCTGAAAATGCAGACAGACTGGTCTGATTAGAATGTAGCAGTGGGACAATGGGCTGCTAACACAATACAGCAACCAAGCTTGGAAGCAATATTGAGCCTCCAGCATTAGGTCTCTAGTATTTCAATCTAAATAGGACTGGTTCAGTTGCAGAATATGCAGTTTTATTATCCATGACTCTGAAATTGCATTTCAGAGAACAGCAGAATCTGAGCATATATACTTACAGCATCTAAGAACTCGTTCTTACTTGCCAGCCCTGCCCACCTGAAAGCATGCGCAAAGTTTCCCTCCTCTTCAAAGCAATAATCCAAATTGTTAGGTCTCTAAAAGCAGGATCTTACCCTTACTCCACTAGTTTCCAATTTAAATATTTATCTAAGTTCCAGCTGTAAGATTACTTTCCTTACATACTAAAAAAAAAAAATAAACTCTTCAGTCTCACAAGAGAACTATAATGCATCAAAAAAACAAGGGCAGTTGAGCTGCCTGACCTCCTGTTTACTTCCAGTATGATGGAAAAATGCAGTGACAATTTTAAAGTTCTGCATAGCATCATATAAGTTTTGCTCAGCGGCAGCCCCTTACCTTTGGAATTCAGTCTCCACGAATGCTTGGATGAAACAAACTCTAGAGAGCTCTAGGGCATGTCACAAGACATTCAGCCAATTTAACTTGACGGTTCTTTTTTGTTCTACTTAACTTTTGTTTATTGTTCTAGTTTAGTTCAGTTCACATTTTTTTGTTTCTCAGGGGTAAGCAGTTACAGCAACAAACACTCTAACGTATAAATGAAAACAGAAGGAAGTAGACTGACTTCCAGAAGCAATATGTGCAATCCAGACAAAACTGAGTTTATGGACAATGACATTGTGAGATTGAAGAAGGAAATGAAACATAAAACCTGTACGGTGAGACACATCAGAAGAAGCGGCCATAATAAAGCACATCATTGGGTTAAGCCACACAATTTGTAATGTCATGCTGATCAAAGCAGTAAGGTAATGTGTGGAACTTACATCTGCAAAAGATGACTGAGTTGATCCATATAACTGAACTAACGATACAGGAGATAATTGTATTACTGCTAATAACCAAGTTATACAATATCCTGAAGAGGCAAATTTCACTATTCAGATCATACAGGATATTTGTATAGGGTGACTGGAAGACCAGAGAAATTCTTCCATCTTCTACCTACCTCTTCCTCACCTTCAGACTTCACAAAACGGAATATCATATTGGTAACTGCTTAAGACAGGATAGCAGACTCAACTTATGAGAAATCTGTCCCCACCAACAAATACTAAATCCAAAACAGTCTTTAAGACATGATAAAATTACAATATAACATAATGAAGAGAGCACCTAAAGTCATACCTCTAGCTGGAAAGCTTAATTGCTGTAGGGTGGCTGCACTTACACAGTAGCCAACCTGTGACTTCTCTGAAATGTCTCCCAGACAGGAATTCCAGTCTTCCACACTATAAACTGGGCAGTCTTGTAGGTTAGTGACAAGGTCTCCCACAAAAAGACCTCTTGGTCCATTGGCAGGAGAATCCTGAGAAGAAACAGTGAAGTCAGTCATATTATTATAGTTGAAACTACAAGGGTTTGTTTACAGTTCTGCTGAATAGCCATGCAATCTTTAGGTTAAGACACTGTTTCCAGAGAAACAGAAAATCTCAGGCTCCACTAGAACTGATTATTTCAACTTACAATAGAGCATTACAAAACCAACATCTTCTACAAATAATAACTTGTTTAGTGCAAAGAAAAAGAAAAGAAAAGGGCAAGTCTCCAAGTGTTTCGGGGACCTCTTCAAATTTGAGTAATTATTTTCATACAAGTTAGTATGTTGTGGGTTTTCCTACCATTTTAAGTTCAAGTAGCTTAAATTAATACCCCGAATCTTTCAACAAAACAGGGCGTACCTATACTTTTGAAGGTACAAAGCATAATAAATGGCACTCTCTCCTGAGTTATATCAGTTCACTTTCAGATGTTAGAAAGACTGAATCTTTTCAGCTCTGGTGTTCAACTGTGCTGTATTTGATTAAGTCAGAAAAAAATCAGTCCTTTCCAGAATCTCAGCAGTCTATCTCTACTTTCCTTCCAGCTGACCAAACAAGCAAGGAAATCAGCTCAGAATAATCTTTACCATTAAAAACAGCAATAACTAGAGTGCAGTTTCCAGTAGATTTACTTGGTGCCAATATTGAAAAGAAGTTAAAAAAAACCCCACAGAAATAAGCCTGCAAACTTATCTCAAATGTCTAAATAATTTTATAGTATGCAGAATAGTCTGTAATTATTCACGCCATGTTCCTTCATTTACTAATACTAAAAAACATAAGACAGAAGGAAACTTTAAGCAGACAAAAAGTTAAATATATTAGATTCTGCAGAGTGCTACACTGACCAAATTTGATTGTGATAATAAGAGACACAGGTACATTTCAGGTCACAAAGCATATAATATGAAAACAGTAAAGATCTTTTCTTACCTCTGCAACCTCAGTGACAAGTGCCCCAACACCCGTGTAATAGAAGGGGAAAAGAATGGCTGGCAGCAGAAACAAAACCATGAAACTTGCAACACCAAGAACAAAATTATGCCACACTCCTAAAAAGGACAAAAATCATGTGTCTAAATAAACACTGATAACAAAAAGGTGGTTTTGAAATGTAAGATTCTACAGTTACCTTCTAATTAATTTTCCTGAAATGATTACTGTAAGATTGGATGAAAAGTTAACTTGTGAACACAGGCATGAAAGAAGAATACATATGTTACTTCACAACTTAAGTTTCTATCACGTCACTTTGCAGGGGAGTTTTAGAGAAGCCTCTGAGCCCCTGAGAACTACACTATCAGAAAAGACAGGGAAGTGGTAAGTCCATCTTTAAGGTGTCATTCTACCATATTGATATTTCATCCCTTACCACTACTTTTCTAAGGACGTAGTGGGCAGGGTATCCAGAAGAAAAACTGGGCTTCTGAATCCATTATTAAACTACAGTTTCTAGCTACATAGTTGTCATCAATAATAAATATTAAAAAAACTAGTGGAATGAAATTCGTTATTTGTCACCTTCTACCACAATAAACTGTTGAATTTAAGAATCCTAATAAATGGCCTTGTATGTGAATAAATACTGTTTGTCCTAGTCAGCAAGACATCTGAAGTTTAGTTGCAATTCAGTATTTTTCATGGTTATCTCCGTTGTATCATTGAAAATAATTACATGTACATGTGCCAAACAAGTTTAGAAAATTATTTGGAAAAAGGCTTCTTTTGCAAGAAAATCTAGACGTAAAACCACATCAAGAAACTAAGTTGTGCAATCAGCGTCTCCTGACATTTTATTTTTGGGCAACATATTTGCTCCTGCAATCTTTATAGTATGCTGTTCTCCATAGGAAGAAATGAACCACTATTATAAGACACATTTGGCTTCCTTCAACATCCAGTACTATACAAATTTTCTCATTTATTTTGTGTTCTTGGACAAACATTTCCGATGACCAATGCAGGAAAACTTTTCAATGTTGAAGACTCCTTGTTTCCGTCTTACAGTGCTTCAACTTGTTAAGAAGGGTTTGATTCAATTCTGTATTTACAGTGCAGTTACAGGACACGAACTGAAGTAAATATATTTAAAAACATATTAAATCTATCTTTCTTGCACTGTATATAACACGGGAATCATAACATATGGCAGACTCTTATTTCTCCTGGCTATCTCTACATGTCACCTGGCCTTCTTTGACATTTCTAATGCTGCAGAAATTAGAGAAATTTCTGGAGTACTTTAACTAAGGGTTTGTTGCCATTTCCACTAGTAGATGCTTCTTAAAGTGATTTCTCTTTCTATAGTTTTTAATCATATCTCACTGAAAGGCAATCAGATAGAACAAACATTTCAGCATTCAGTTCTCTATCTCACACACATACATATACATGTGTGCACACACACATGTGCCACAAAACCAAAAGTATTAAGTAAATATTTTAACTTTGTTGCTTTAACTTTTTTATCTTAAAAATATATCTTTTTTTCAGCTTAACATCTTAACAAAGGACAAAAATCTAAGACAGAAACAAAATTCCTTTGTAACAGTGTGGCCACTAAAGAGACTAAACTGGGAAAAAAACCTTAAAATAATAAAAAAAGAGGTGATGGAACTGCTAGGGGGTGACAAGGAATACTTTCAAACAGCTAGGAAAACATGGGCCTTAATACCATAATCTACACAGTTTGCTGTGTGGAATACAGCAGAAAAGTCTAAAATAGAAAGGCTTCATATTCATCCCAGGTGATCCATAGGAAAATAAACAGGCTCAAAATGAGAATACCTGCAGAGGCACACTGCTGACTATACCATCAATTTCATTTTGCTAAAACAGTCTCATCCTTGGATACCTAATTCCTTATATTTAAAAAGGGACACTTTACACAACCCTTAAAACACCTTAAAAGAATTAATTTCTTAATTATTAATAAATTTTTAAAAAAATTTAAAAATCTTTAACTCTTTTTTCCATTAAAGACAAGACAAAATGTATTAAAAAGGATCACAAAAAATAACACAAATACTCAAACTAATTATAAGAAAGAGCTGCACAGAAGCACTTTTCATCTACTAGGCATGGAATGAATGCTAAAAATATCACAAGTCTTACGAGAACACCCATTCACTATTCTTGAACTCATGATGCCATCTGCTGTACAACAAATCTACTCTTTAATCTCCAGAGTATAGGTGGACTACAAAAGGAATATTTGGTGTCGTTCTCTACTCTAGCTCTTTTACTTTAGCTGTCGTACAAAAATCTGAAAGCATGTCTCTCTAAACTCAGATCTTCAGAACACTGAGAACAGGTTCATTCAACTGCTCTGACAATTAAAAAAAGATGAGTTAAGTTTACCGAGGATCACGTTTTACCATTATCAAACATCCTAGTTGTAAAATATACCTATCATTAGCTGTAAAAAAATGCATATATTTGTTATACCTAGCTGATAACAAGACATTGATGCTAACCAGTCTTGCAACATGTTTGTTCCTACCTTGTATTCCCCTATGTCAGGTTTCCCGAGAAACCTGAAAAATTATTATGGGTGTTTGCTTGTCATCAAAAACATGCAAGCAATTATTTTCTATTACAGTTTATAATCTTATTTTTCTAGATAATTTCTCAGGACGGATGTAAGCAACCTATTTTGAAAATTGGTATGTCTTCTCTTTCAGTTCTTTTCACGGTAGCTGGAAATGGAAATTGATGAATTTGAGAAAGAGGGCTTCATAAAAGTTAGCCTATTGCAGTGAGTGATTTTGGTTCATTAGGACATTTGGAATGCAGATATATTTACTTACCTAACATTTATCATCATTTACTTGATTTATGAAAGCTTGAAAATATCCTTTGCTAAAGTCTTCTGTAAGCCCAGCCTAAAACCCTGTATATAATGTTTTAGTCACAACATCCAAGAAACAATGTTAGTATCTAAACATTACAACAGCCTAGCTGCTATCCTACTGTCCCCTGCAACAGAAAATCACAAGTATCAAGAAGTAAATCAAGATGCTAACTTTTCTATCTTCATTTCAGTAGTTTGGGAACCACCTTTGTCTCTATAAATCAGTAATACAAGTGGCTCAGGTAGCATAACCAAAAGCATTTAGAGGTTATCTGGAGCCATAAGCTGTGATTCTCTTTGGATGTTTGTGTTTTAGCCTTTACTTCCTCCTGATGGCAACATCAAAACACAGTGACCTGTATAATAATGTAACTCACGTCACTGAAAATCACTCACAATGCCATTGAAAAATCACATAATAGACTGCTCTTATTGCAGAAAATGGTAGTGAATTGCTCAAGGGTGTTCAGCAAGTCCTGTTCGCACACTACCAGTCTTCTGGCTGAGTATTTTCCAGCTTGTGTGCTCCACAGTTTCACTAATTAGGCCATACAAGATGCAAACCACCCCCCCACAAACCCCCCAAACAAAAACCAAAACCAAACCCCAAAACCAAAGGAACTTCTGTACCTGAGGTGTAAGAGCTTTTTCTAATGAGAGCGGAAGGCCAGAAAACACATTTTTTCCCCCAACACACAACTAGAATTTCTTATGCACAACTATTCTGAATCAGATCTAGAATATAGTAACGTTTTTCATGACAGGATACTGGTACTCATTTAAGCTCCTAGAAACCGATATCTCTCCTTCAGAAAACAGCATAATATGGACAGTAATGATCAAATGATTTTCTGAAATCACAATGTAGGTTCTGAACGGAAGGATCACCTTTAGGTAAAGAAAAGCTTTTGTACTACTTCTTTTTAAACCTTCAATCCTCCATCAAGGATTCACAAATGATGCCTGTAGAATAAGTAACTGTGCTAAGCAAAGATTTAATAAAAAAGCACAAACTATTACCTGCACAAAATATCCTCAATTGCTGGACTGGAGATATCAGTTGCAAGTGGGTTGTGAAGAGGTCGACAAATGCTCCAGGATAGACAATGAAGATAAAAATCCCAAATCCATTAAATCGTACTTGTTCTCTTTAAAAAGAAAAGAAAAATGGTGTTACTGCAAACATACAAATGAAAAACTGAGAGATTCTACACAGCACACATTTTTGATGAGAATATCTAAAATTATAATTATAAAATTAACTTATTTTTCCTAACATGAATAATTGAAAGATAATTAAACTAAAGGATGTTTTCTGCAGCAGTTGCCACTTTTAAACAGCACACATTTGTGAGCCAGGTAAAAAATAAAGGATAAGTTCAACCTCTTTTCTGTCTCCTGGTAACAGTAACACATAAAATACTTAAAAAAACCAAACAAACAACACTACTTGGAAGTTACGGTATATTTTAACATTTGGGGGATTTTTTCTTTTAAGTAAAAAAAATGGCAGCCTGTAGGATGCAGTTTCAAACTAATCTATGAAAAATTATCTGGAAGAAGCAGTCGCTCTCCTTTTAAAGAATCACTTATAGATTTCTGGAATTTATAATTTCTCTGTTTCTCCTAAATGAAATTTAGGCTAAACTGTAAACTAACAAAAATGAGGGAAATGTCATCTGAAAAAATGAAAACAAGTCAAGAGTTTAAAAGGTCACATGCTATTTAAATTTATTAGTAGCTGACACTACCATACAGATTATATATATATAAATTTTTCAGAGATTTGGCACTTTTTGGAATAACTACATAAAGGTTTTATAAAGCTAGAAATTTCATAAGGGACTTATAGAGGCATGACAATCATGTTCCAAGACAATTACATTCCAATTATTATTCCAAGACAAGCATGTTCCAAGACAAACCAGGCACGGATCAGCCAATCCCATATATTTACTGAGACAGTACACTGGGCATAGCATTTTAGTTATTCACACTTATTTATTTATTGTGCATACACAATAGAAGAAGACATAGAATTATACAAAATTAATCAGAATTAAGTAATACCTTAATTCCCTGGAGTTAACCCATCAGACCTACCCATGCTACCAATTAGTAATAGGCAGGCTAATGCCTATACATGTTTTCATGACTTGGGTAGGAGGTACAGAGGGAAGAAGAAAAAGGCTTTTTTTGGCATAAGCCTTGACTAAGCTAAGGTTCAAATATTTTAAGCTCTTGTAGTTCACAGCCAATACAATCTTCAACTGAAGTTGGCAAAAGCATATTAGATTTCAAGGAGTCAAAGTGATTTGCCAGCATAATAAAATTTGCCCACAGCACAGCTATTTAGTAAAGCCTAAATCCTGGGGATTGACCGTAACACCACTATAGACTCAGCCTGTGCTGGGGGCAGGGAACCAACCAAACAAGCAGAAAACAGCAACAGCAATGTACATTGGACAATCTAATTTTTCCCCTGGAAATAGCTGGGAATCAATTTTTTGACAAAAACATAACCCAAACTTGAATATCCAGAGCCTTTGCTCCAGATCTTGAATGAAGATACCACACCACTAAGGTACAAGAATTATTCATTCTGCTTGAAAAGAGCTTTATAGTTACTCCTGGCTTCTCTGCAGTCAGCCAGCACCATGTGAAGGCACTGTAAGAGAAAGGAAATTTTTTTGCTTCTTCCTGTGGTGGGATAAGCAGCAAGAGCTTCATCCTCCACAGAAAAATCCCTGTGAATATTAGGGGAAAAAAGCTGAAAGAGAAACAGAGCATATGAAACACAGAGGGTCCCAAACCACCCATTTAACTGAGAACTTTTGGGGCTATAAAAAAAAAAAAGCAGTAATGACTTAAGATGCAGTCATGACTCCCTGCACTCAAGAAAATCAGAGAAACAACTTAGGGCTTCGTGCTCATGGGACAGATAATGATGATGCTCAGCAGAAATGTGGAGGACACCTGACCATCAGTCCCAGTAACCACCACTTAACCCTCTTATGCTGGAGTGTCATTTAACAGTAATGACTAATCACGTCAAATAACTTTTTTGTGAAGTAATCATCATAGTTAAGTGACATTAAAAATACCATTTTGATCAAAATTAACAGGGGCAAATCACATTTCACTGAGTTACTGCTTCAGCCTGTTCATATGCTACTTCACAAGCTATGTTTAAACAAATCACTTTAAAAATCTATGTTAAAGTACCATTGTGCAATAGCACATGGGTCCTCTTCAAGTGTCACAGCTGCAGAAATGCAACTGCTGTGTGAAAAACAGGATCACTTAAAAGAAGTATTATTTAGTGTGGTATATTGGCAAAGCAGAAGTCCTTTCTCACGATCTGTAGAGTAGGCACTGTATTAAAACTCTATCCTTAACTGTACACCCTTCCAAACTTAAAATCTAAGGAAGCTATGAAATACAGATAAACAGACTCTCTAGATAAACCGCTGCAGTGCTAACAACATTCACCTGTAAGTAAACGCTCTGGAATATCAGGCTTTGTTGGCGCATAGCAAGAGAAAAGTAATTTGTATTACCGAATAGCTGCCACGCCATGGCCGACTTCATGTACCACACCGCTGATGAGGATGGCAGAGAAGAAGTAGGTCAGCTGGCTGACAGGCAAATTTACACCAGGCACCTGTTGATGTGGGCATGGCAACAAAACAAAACACAGGAAGAAACCAAGGGTACAGACACAAATCATTCTGCCCTGAAACTCGCTGCTCTCACTCAGCTGCTTCAGACCTGCAACAGAACAGGGGCTGTTCTCACGCAGCGCTATCAGTTCATACCTCTTCTCCCAATTTACTCAATCTATTCTAAAATACATTAAATGTACGTTCTTTTGTTGAAGGTTGAAAAGCTCTCCAGGTGCAAAGGCCTTCTCTCTGCCCTGCTTATTCCCCACAGCCCTGACCAAATGTGTCCTACTTTATATTGAAAATGTACACAGACTTCCACTCAAATGAATCAGACTTGGCAACCATGAGCATTAGTTTACAATGTCCTGCAGCTGGTCATGTAGCTATAGAGAAGATCCACCCTTCAAAAAAAAAAAAATTAAAAAACTGTATGGCACTTAAGACACTGTGAGCTCTAAAAGTTCAAAAAATGAACCTACAACTGGAACTGTCAGTCTCCCTTCTCTCTCCCTATCCAAATCACCAGACCATCCCAAATTTACAAGGTCAAAAAAAGGGTCACTTTTGGCTACAGTTCAAGTTTTGGCAGTCCACACATGGCAACTTAACCTTTAAAAAAAAGCACTTGAAATGAGTATACTATTTTAATTTATGTAAGATGTAATATGCAGGCTGCTCACATTCCTCCTGCTGCTGTGGATTCCCACCACTCCCCAAGTCCTTCACTGCACTAGTCATGAGACACCAAATGCTCCCAGACAGGCTTCAAAGTGGTCACGGTCAGAGAATGAGGAACCGTCCCCTCTTTGCTGCGGCTCGGATCCCAACCCCGCTCAGCTGCCATGCCGCAGGGGACGGTAAGGCCACTTCTGCCGCTTGCCCTGGGACAGGTCTCCTGCCGGCTCCCCAGCTCTCCCCGCTCCACCGCAGCCAGTAATGGCTGATGTGAACACAATTTCAACTGCAATCCAGCAGCAGAAAAGAGGTGCTATGGGCAAAAATGCCTAGCCTGTCTATAGGACTCTCTAAAAGCTGCCCGTGTGGGACAGAAAAGGCTGCAGATCCAACTGAGCAGATCCTGTTTGATTCTACCTTCATTCAGTCCTGCACATTCCTCAGTCACATGCATTCCCCCACCCACGCAGCAAAACTCTACAACAGACAATCTTGTGAAAAGAAATCCTTCAAAAGGCTGTTTTCATGAATGTTAAACTGAATCATTTCACAAATTCTGTCCAGAGTGTGATCATGACCGAGGTACAGATCTTAACTGGCACGACTGTCGTACCTCGCTGTTATGAAGGCAGCTGCTCTTCACGTGTTAAGCATGCATTGCTTGTATGACAGCATCAGCTGGCAGCAGTAACGCATCAGCTAATGGGCCATGCCCGCGGCCCTCTGCTCCGGGCACGCAGGAGGACAGACCGTGATAGCAAGAGCTGCCATCTTAATGCCACCATGACTGTAGCCTGTTAAAACACAGCACCACGTGCTTCCAGACTTCACATCAAAGCAGCCAGTTTAAGATGCACCTAAAAGGGAAGCTAACTCTCATGAAGGGTTCTGAAATCAATAGCAGCATTTTGTTAATAAGCATTGTAATCTCATATTTTATGGTCTTCTGGAAACGTCTTTAGCTAAAGAAGACCCTTTGCTAGTAAGTCATCTGCTTCTTTCCCACTTTTGTCAACAGGCAACAGACACAGGAGGGGGCAGCTGAAGAAAAACCACCCAGTTACCTACAGACGGGGATTTAAATAAGTACGTGACTGAACAAAAGAGGAAGGGTACAAAAATCTTAATCAATAAAACATAAAAACTGATGTTTTGTATTGTAATAAATGAAATAGAACCCCTCTCTTCTTGTGGATTATGGATATGCTCTGCAAACTTTAAGGCCACCAGTGCCTCTACATTGCACAGCTCAGAGGAGGCAAATTCTTAGCTCTGGTTCGTATTCTTAGTACTATGTTAATTTAGGGCTTTTCAGAATTACTAGCCATTTCTCACTGCTGAGAATTTTTAATATAAACTCTTCCACACATTTGCATTCATTTGTCTTCCCTTCTTTTAGTACTGCCACTTCCCATTTTCAAGGCTGATAACAAACCAGCAAATTTTTATGTAGATGAGTATCAAGAGTTAGGTTATTCCTGTATGGGAGGATTTAAGCATCACATACCCCATTAAAAAGCTGGTTAAGAACAGTTCACAACTCTCAAATAAAGACCTGAGGAGAGAACACTTACTACAACTTGCAGCATACGGTCATTCTGGGCTTTCGGTGCCTCCGTGAGCATCTGCGTCAGTGTTTGCATCAGTGTCTTTCCGAGAAGAATAACAGAGCCAAACATGGCAACTATACCAAACACCATTCCTATGCTGAACCTACAAAGAGAAGCAAATAGTTCAGCAACGCATAGCCACAAGAAGATAGGGTATATTCTCTGGATATGTAACTGCTTTAGCACAACTTAGGACACCAAACTCATAGGGCAAAACTCATCTGATGCTACCACCATGCATGTATCAACAATCCAGCACAAAAATACCAGTTAAAGGAAACTAGTAACAATAATAACATACACTACTAGCATTGACTAAGAACATAGTATTTTCCTTCTTTAATCAACATTTTACATCCTAAACCACATCCTGATTAATTTTCAAACGTTTTTATGTTGTTCTTACACATTCTAAATTTTATTCAGTTACCCACTACATGTAACTTGCCATTAGCTATGAATAGCAAAACATAAATAACAATGTATAATTTACCATGTTGCACCACACTATCACATATTTAGAGACCTGGGAGATCTGGATCAAATGATGGGGTAGTGTACATATTTATTTATATAAGCTTTTTCAAGAAGTTTTACATCTTCCTCACAATAAAAAGTGCTAAAGAACAATGAGACTCAACCTTTTTTAAAGATGACCAACTAAAAGGTACAACTGCAAGACCAGATTAAAATCAATTACTTAAAACACATTGTTCTTCTCACCAAATTATTTCTCATTAAAATGAGTGTTGAAAATCATGTCAATTTACATCAGTCCACCTAGTGGTGAATTTTTATTCGGCATTATTATCATTATTTTATACTGTCCAATAGTTGAAGGATGAGATAAAGTTTATTTTCCTGCTAAAACACTTCAATTCACTACCAGTCCTCCTTCCTCTCACAATAGCATACCTGTTCTCCTACCATCCTTAATGAAGCTCTTCGGGAATTAGTAGATTTATTTTAAGCAATATGTACTTGTAATGTTAATTAAACAGACTGGTAGAAACATTATACTGTAACAACTTATACACATTAAAAATTGTGATTGATATAGAAATATTTCAGACTGAAACAGTAAACTCATTACATATGAGAGAAACCAGTACGAAGCAGACCTCTCTTTCATTACTCTCTCACTGAGGGTAGCAGCACAGGAAATGAAAAGAAATGCAAACCTTACTCATTTTATATTTTCAGAGCAGCTATAAAGTAATGCTAGGAAGGCAACTGAGCAATAGTTTTCTAACCCTGTCCAGGAGCACCCATACTAACCACCCTGCATACTTACCCATTCCCTGCAGTCTGTGCAATCTTAGCAGGGAAAGGTGCAGGCAGATAAAAGACAGAAGGTGAGCAACAAGCTTCTGAGCAGGTATAGCTGCTGAATGGCTGGGCAATGACTAACAACAGGGACACAACTGTCTCTGAATACTCCATAAACTCCAGTGATCAGGGGAGAGCTCAGTGTACACTGATAGACAGATCTAGGAGACCAGAAGCTGCTTTCAGACCTACTTCTGATGCAGTATTACACGTAATAGCTGTGCTCTTAAGAACTACGTAGAGTTCAAACCACAGGTAAAAACAGTTTATAGATTTCTAGTTTTATAGCATCTCCATATGCAACCTATATTACAGCTACGTATTTCTTAGCAGAGGAGAAAGACTCATACTGGCACAGTACAATTACGGCAACCACGCTAGTTTGGTTTTGTCATTAGCCTAGTGAAATAACCATGTCTATCCATTGCACTTTTAAGCCTGAAAAGCACAGATGTGGTGAAGTTGTTGACTCTGTATTTGACAGAAGAAAAAAAATCCTGAATTTATACCATAAATACAGAAATCTGGGTTTCCATCTCCCCCAGTTGTAGAACTGGCGGTTGAAGAGAGCTGTTTGCCATCGCATGTGAAAAGGAGAGATGCTCAAGCCGTACGTCAGCAGCCAGTCTTCATAGGATGCCTTCAGCGAGTTAGATGACTGCAAAACACGGAAGATTAGCTTGACTAAAAACTTCTAGGAAGATTTTGTGTTATGTGACCAAGCAGTAAACGTGATCTGTTTTTATATAAACAAATGTATAACTTCAGGCAAATGTCCTGCACATTATTTATATTTTGACATATAGGTAGGTATGACATGTAATGTGAAAAAGTTATGCCACTGTTTTGATGTAAATTGCAACAGGTCTAGGATTGCAAGAGGGATTGCATATCCAGTGTTATTTGACAAACAAGATCTTGTATCATCTTTTCTAGTGTTAAATCACTTTCAGTAGTTTTTAACTGTCTGGCTAGAAGGCTAAAGACTGAACTGTTTATGGTATTTTTTCAACATGCAATTATATTCCAGTAAACATTTTTAAAACTACAATAAAGAAAAATGCTTCTTTCGGTTTCAGCTGAAAAAACTGTTTCTAATATTGGTGAGATATGGATCAGTACTGTGGATACTTTTTAGTAAGGGTAAAAATGAGGTCTACTTTTCAAACACAAAGACTATGCCTAAAGAGACTCCGAAATATTTGGTTATACTAACAAAAAGCTAACATACGAACAAAATTATCAACCTGTATTGCAACAGTGATTTTACTGTGGTAACTTCCCAAAGTTTCACAATACTGTTAGAATGCCTTCCTAGTAGTTCCAAAGATTTCTCTTTATGAGAAATGTGACCTATGCACTACGTGATTAATACATACCTGCAGTATTATCTGATATTATAGACCCATAGCCATTGTTTTGCAATTGCTACTTTGTATTATGTGGCGCTCATATTCTCAGTAGGCTTACTCAGCCTGCTTCATGGAAGCTCGCATCAGGAAGCCAACTGAAGGAATGCTCTCCTTGGAGGTGAAAGAGGAACTCACAGCTCAGGAAAAGCACACCAGAGCTTTGAGCCGTCTGACTTTGAGCAGTTCCCAAGGCAGGAGTGTCCCTGACACAATCCAGACAAGTCTTCGGAGCTCTGCGAACTGGAGCATTGTTCCCAAGTTTCCCTACGAGCAGCAGCGCCTATTAGGGAATGCGTAGTTCACAACAGGCTCCCCTCTCCTCCTCCAGGAGGAACTTGATGAGTTTCTGGCTGTCCTCTGTGGTTCTTTAGACAAATTTAGAACTTGCTAAGTTCCTTGCGTTCTTCCTGTCTTACCGCAGTGGTGCTGGGGAGCAAGGATCTCATCTTGCACAACTATACTCATAGCTTTCCTGATTTTGTTGAACTAATTAAAATTTGAACTCTAAAAAATTATTTCAAGTAACAATTTTCCTAGGGCGCAAGACCCATTTGCTCAGGTCATTGTTCATGTATCACCTACTACACCATTTATCCTTTCTGCCTATATATTTGTGTGTCTGCTCCTTCACCCTACTGATTTCAGCCACATTTTTGTTCAGTCAGCTGAGGGCATTGACAAAAATTTTCATTGTAATGTATTCCCTAATCAACACTAGTCGCTCCCTACGACACCGCTATGTTTAGTGTCCGCAAGTAGATCAGCTAACCCAGCATTTGCTAACTTTAACAGAAGAGATCACAAAGATGATTACACTTGTAAAATTAATAATACATAAGCCAAAGAAACAAAGAAAAAGATCTCCTCGCATAATCTGCCAGATAATTAAGAACAAAAATACATATGACATTAAGTACCTCTGATATGAGAAACTGTCTTTTGGGAATTAAGTAAACACATCCTAGTCATTCACACCGAGCCCCAAAAATCCCCAACCAACCACGTATTATTATAATAAAGCTATTTGGACATATTGATTTGGCATTTTACAAATGTGTTCCTTTTATCACATGCAAAAACCACTTTTTCCCTAGAAAAGCCACAAATTCATCCCTTCAAATTCATTCCAACCACATCACAGCCCCACTGTACTAGCAAGGCATAAATAAATATGAAGTTTTCCATGAGAAATATGGGATTGCCAAATGGGGAAAAAAAAATAAAAGGTACCAAAATTAATTTTCCTTTCGCATTCTCCTCTCAAGTTGTGTAAATGGCATTCATGATCACTAAATGGCTGCATCCCTTTGCAAAATATATTAAAAAGCTCTATGCAAACTTTTTGCTCCTTCTGTCCTGAGCCCAGTAGGATCACCACATTACCACGTGCACCCTCATGCCCCGGTACGGGGTATCTTGGTACCCTATGTTTCATTTCAAACTTCCTTCATACAGGTCTTGGCTCTGCTTCTCTAGGTTGAGTTCTAAGTGATCTTTGTTATATTAATTTTACTATGAAAGCAGTATCTTTTTTATTTATGCAAGCCTTCCAAATAATGAATGTCTGCTAAATACTCCAGGAGCTCCATAAATATCTGCCAGCAAGCAGGAGTCCTTAACATTCTTCTCCGCTGACAAAATCTGTTCAAGAGCTCTGAACCATTTCAGCTTCCTGACCTTAAAAGCTGAAAGCTAACCTTGACTGAATGTGTCTATTGCATCCTCTATTTCTCATAGCAGAAGGAGGGACAACCTTCCACCTTTTGCTCATTCCTGATCCTTCAGGCAGAATGAAATGGGATGATTTAGAATGCTGGGGAGGAGGAATTTAGGGGTCTGCCTGAGTGATTCTCTTTTATCGGATCCAAGCTGCAATGGAAACTTTCATGCCAGTGGTTCAGTGAAGAGCAACAAGAGGGACTTAAAACTCCAAGTCCCAGTTTGATTTGGCATATTTTTAGTTTTCTAACACAAATATATCTTGTAATGTAACTCTAGCAATATTATAATGTGTCAATTTATTTGTGCAAAAATGCACTTAAACACACAGTTATGCCTTCTATACTGTAGACTTTCTGAGAGTCAGAATGCCTAAAAAAATATTTGAAATCTGAACAAAACCAGAAAGGCAACAAACTGAGCAAGAGACATTGCACACTGAACAAATTTACAGAATAAACATCAACTGCAAGTTACAGCACACATCCTTCTCTTGCCAAAAATATCAACAGGATCACACATGGAAAAGTACTCCTGTATTGTTTTTCACTCACACTCTGTACATCCCTTTGGTGTAATTAAATTGTAAGTGATTTGAGGTTTAAGCAGGGACTGCCTTTTGCTATGGTTGCTTGCAGCCTCAGGTTATTAATGTGGTGGGAGATTTACAGTATCAGCAATAAAACAAGCAACCTGAGCTTCCAATTATATAAACCTGATTATTTAATCCAAATTCTATTTTGGCTGTGGTGCTCGCAGTGAAACTTACCGAGATGTACACACATGAGATATACCAGTAAGTTCACTAAAACCCAATAGCTCCCACATGCTTCCTCATGATTAATAACCTTTGTCAAGTTTTAGTTAAAAGATCAAAGTTAAAATTTAACTCCTGGACTCGCTTGTCTGCTATAGCATTCCAGGCATTCCCCCTTCTTTTTCAACATAAATCAGGCACTGTTGGCTCCAAACAACATGGGGGTTTTTTCTCTCTTGCTGGTTGTAACAAGAAAAGCAGTGGCTATTCTTACCTATGAAAGAGAATGATTTTAAGGTCTAATGCTGAAAGAGATCTTCAGAATCTGAGATACAAATGGGTCTCAGCATTGTGGCACAACAGGTCTGCTACCTGAATTTAGGTCTTGCTTCACACTCTAAAATTCTTCATCAGACACAAAGTTACAGTGAAAAGAAAACCAGCCTGTTGGCTGACCTTTCTGGTAGTTTTTGGTATGTCTACAGTCAGGAGCACATTTTTCTGGTATCTGGCCAATCTTCTATTTCTTCTGTTTCAAAACAATGCCATGTTTGTTTCCAAATACCTACTATAGACTTGATGGAATAAAGTCTTAAAAATCTTCAGATAAATTACTGTATTTTTTATTGTCATTATGTACAGACTAATATTTGCCAATCAATAGCTCTCATCACTTACTGAGCTACATCTGCTCTCCAACAATTAGCAGCAGGGGGAGCCACTTATTTTTCCACGTTTTCTCATCACCTAAAATTTCTTCTATTTCTTCCTATATTTTACAGGAGTGACAAAATGAATGTTTTTTACTTTGAAACCGCTAGGCCCTATCTGCACTTGGTAGAAACAGATACAGCTCCTGGACTGTAACGTTAACATAAAAGAGAATTACAGACCAAACCTTCCATTTCATTTTTCCTCATATTTAACCAGCATACATCCTATTGTGCATACACCCTATTTTGCATACATACTTCACAATTTCAATCATCTCTTAGAAATCACACCTCTCAAGCTTAAAAAAAACCCCACACTTAATGAAACTTGTGCAATGCACAATGCACCCCTAGATATAATGAATGGTGTCTTGTTCGTGTATTTCTTTTTCCAAACCTTCCCCTCTCCATCAGAAGGAAAAAGATGAGTCTTACAATACTCTATGAAGATTACTTTGTACGGAGCTCTGTCTCAAGTTATTTTTTTTCAGTAAAACTAAAGACACTCAAAAGAAAAAAAAAGTGCATTAGTTATGTTTTTACATACAGTAATTTTAGAAAAATCATCATTATAAAACACATACTCTACACAGCAAACTTATAAATTGAGGTTTGTTTTTTTTAAAAGACAGTAATTCTACAAGCTCCAGAAAGCACATTAAAATGCCTCCGAACTGTTTAAGCAGGAGGGTGAAAGCTGGCTTCCCTAACGCCCCGCAGCCCTGGCCCCTCAGCACAGCCCCGACACCCCCGCACCCGGCCTCTGCAGCCCCAGGGCGGGCGCGAGCAAACCCC